TTTTCACATTCATTTAAAGAAAGAAGCTTGTCAATTAAGGTTTTAATTGTGTAACCTTGTTTTTCTTCCTTCTCCTTTTCGATTATATTAAATGTTTCATAGCTAGTTTCTTTTTCAGGTGTTATTTCCATTGGTGGATTATTACTCGGTTTATTTTCGGGTGTTGTCATCTTCTTATTATCTAGATAAAGGTCTCGACATTTATTATGTTTTTCAATTCTACTTTGTCTTTCAGCATTTTTTTTCTCCTTTTCTTTCTGTCCCATCTAATTCGTTGCTTCTTGTTTCTTGTTGCACGTTTTCTTTTTTTTTCTTTTTTATAATTTTTTTTAATAATTCATTTTTGAAAAATTTTGCAAGCCGACTTCTACAGTGTAGTGAGATTTGTCTTGAAATTTGTCTGAGCTCGATGTATTTGATTTTTAAAGGAATGACAAAATTTTTTTAACATATAATTCATGAAAAGTAAAATTTTTTTTGGTTTATATTTTGAAAGACGATAAAATTTTGAAAAGAATAAGACCTTACAGAAGTCATTTGGCCAAAATTTGTAGAAGATATTCTTAAAAATCGTCATTTTCAATGTTTTACAAAAATTTGAATAACTTCTAAAATAATGAACGCTTTTTAATAATCTTAGGCTTATTTTAAAGACCATTTTCTACAGAATAAGAATTACTTATAGGCATTAACCTGTCATTTTTAACTTGGAATAAGCATGACGTCAAAGTTGGACAAAAAAATTCAAAAAATTTGAAATAATATTATTAAAAGAAAAATAATTTTTGAAATTCAAACATATATTTTTATTAAATTTTCTTGAAAAATCTACACCATATCATGTTTTATATATGTTCTAGAATAGTTTTTAGTACAAAAAATTGATTTCAAATTTTTCCAATTTTTTTGTCTAATTTTGACGTCATGCTTATTCCAAGTTAAAAATGACAGGTTAATGCCTATAAGTAATTCTTATTCCGTAGAAAAAGACCTTTAAAATAAGCCTAAGATTATTAAAAAGCGTTCATTATTTTAGAAGTTATTTAAATTTTTGTAAAACATTGAAAATGACGATTTTTAGGAATATCTTCTACAAATTTTGGCCAAATGACTTCTGTAAGGTCTTATTCTTTTCAAAATTTTATCGTCTTTCAAAATATAAACCAAAAAAAATTTTAGTTTTCATGAATTTTATGTTAAAAAATTTTTGTCATTCCTTTAAAAATGGGTGGACTGACAATTGCGGACGGTACTGTATATGTATTTTTAACATTTATTTATTCATTTATTTTCGATGAGTACAGTTAAGAATGAATCAAAAGGACAATTTGAACTCTAAAATAATGCGCTTACTCACTGAATGATGATTCCCTGTTATTAATCCAAATTATAATAAGTGTGTAACTTCACTAAAATTTTAACTCTAAATTGAACTACTTTTTGTATTATTTAAAAACTACCGGGACACTTGTTCCCGGGCACAAAGCAGGTGGAGCCTCACTCGCGATCCCGAAACCACTAAAACCTCGGTTCACGAAAATTAAACGATTAATCCACGTATGTGCACGTAATCGACTCAATTAACCGATTAATTGTTTCGTATTCACAAAAATGATTAAAGTCTTATGGCATTCAGCCGGCTAGCACTTAGTATTACCCGTTACACAATTTAATAACAGTAAAGAGGAAAACTTATGTGCACATAACCAAGAGGTTGAACTTCGGTTTTCGCGGATCGAGATCGGTGAAAAGACTGAAGTACCCTTTTGCAAAGATTGAGATGATTGAGTTTCTGAGGACCAGGGCGTTCCCAAATGTTCCCTTACCATTTTTCTTTAACCAATTGGATTTTTGGGAGTTTTAGGAGGAAAGGGAAAAACGGTCATTTGTAAAGTTTAATTTTGGGTCTTGAACTTGAGACTGGGTGGTACGACAAGGGGCTGGGGTGCGGTACTCAGGCAGTCTTATTTCTTAGAAATTTCAGGGTTGCTATAATGGGGTTGAGTGTTATAAACCATTGGTTTATTCGGCAAAAGTATATTTTTTTCCTTTACAACATTGATTGTTGTCTTGCTGCAATTAGCTGTACCTTCCCAGATGATTTCCATATTGTCGAGCCCATCTTCACCAGATTAAGTTGTAAAAATTTATTATATTTTCGTGAGAAAATTTTAAGGAAACGGATTATAGAAATGTAAATTGTTTAGGGGTTAGAAAAATGTGTAAAAGATCTAAAAACCCGAGGTCCTAAGCTAAAAAAACATAAAATAAACTAAAAGTATTTATCATAAAGGAAGTAAAATTGGTATAATAAAAGAGAAAGTTCACTATTCTGTGATGTACTAAAATATATAAATTTAGGAAGGAAATAATAAAAATACTAAAAATAATCTAGAAATATATGCGAAAATAAAATCTACAGGAACGTTACATACTTATGACATGCAAGTAAATACCAGTGAAATTTATTGTTATAAACAATTACTTTTTGTTATGTTACAAACAATTTATTTATTAACAATTTTTATTTTTTTAACACAAAATTAATTATATTTTACGAACAATTATTATTACCAGTTACGATTTCCAGGAAGTATTTTTTACTCTTATTTATTAATGTAACATTGTTTAAACAAAGCTTAATTAACAATTGCTACGTTACTTTATTTTTAGTTGTTTAAGTCTCGTTTTTTGTATATTTCCATGTATATAAAGTAATTTCTTAACTTGTTGTCAAATTTCACATTTGTTAATAATTTGAATTGTTATTAACAATTGTTAAAAATATTAAGGAGAAATTTTTTTTAAAACATAGTGTGGGACCCGATCAGTGACCAACCATACAAATAAGAAAATAACTATTTGATTCATACTCTCTTAATTTGAATCAGTTAAAAATCGTGGTTTTAACTGACAATCAGTGACTGACTTTTTGCTTCTGAATCAGTTAAAAATAACTGTTTTTCAGTGAAAAAATAACTAATTTTCAGTAAATAATAACTGAAAAAATAGTTAAACTGGACTAATTGAATCAGTCAAAAAAAATTAACTGAAACTTCAGTTATTTTTAACTGAAAATCAGTTATTTTTAACTAATTGTCAGTAGAAATATTACTATTTGAATTAGTGACTGACTTTTTGCTTCTAAATCAGTTATTTTTAACTGATTAAAATTTAGAGAGTAAGAAAATAAAAAATAGAAAAACAGACAATGTTGAATTGAAGACTGATTTTAAAGTAAGATTTACTTTTTATTGTGTAATTAAAGTTAAGATTTGTACACTCAACGTGCATTCGAAATTATCCTCGCTGATTCTACTCTGTTTTTATGATATTCAAACTATGTCTTAAAAAATTTCTCCTTAATATTTTTAACAATTGTTAATAACAATTCAAATTATTAACAAATGTTAAATTTGACAACAAGTTAAGAAATTACTTTATATACATGGAAATATACAAAAAACGAGACTTAAACAACTAAAAATAAAGTAACGGTGCAATTGTTATTTAAGCTTTGTTTAAACAATGTTACATTAATAAATAAGAGTAAAAAATACTTCCTGGAAATCGTAACTGGTAATAATAATTGTTCATAAAATATAATTAATTTTGTGTTAAAAAAATAAAAATTGTTAATAAATAAATTGTTTGTAACATAACAAAAAGTAATTGTTTATAACAATAAATTTCACTGGTATTTACTTGCATGTCATAAGTATAGTAGATTATGCAAAAAGTCACTAAATTTACATAATATTAAAAAAAGGTTTTGTTAATTTATTTGTTTATAACAAAAGCAAAAATTGTTTAAACAAAATAGTTAATGTCTCAAAACATTTTTAGAACATCGCTATAATGTTTTTGGTAATTATTAATAATATAATAGGCTTTCATAAGCAACAATATTTGTTTAAAGAAAAAAAATTTCTCATTTTTTTATTTAACATTTAATAAACAATTAACCGAAAATTTGTTTTTTTAATAAAAAACGTACGTTTTATGCAAAATTTTATCAGCTTTAATTGAAAAAAAAATTTTGTCAATCGATTAAAAATTGTGGTCTAAAAATCAATTTGTCCAATAGCGTGTTTTTTGCCCCACTGGGATGGTGGTGGGAAAAAACTATTACTGAGAAGAAGAATATCTTTTAAATTACTCCTCCACTCTTCACAACAATCTCTATCAATACACTTTACAATATACAATGAAAAAACATAAAAATCAAATGGTTTTGAAAATTATAACAAAGAAGACTGATGCTGGTATCTTATACCTGGAGGAAATATTGGCTTTCTTGAACATCCGTATTGTACCATTCAGGCGATACAAGTTCTAGTACTGGAGTAATACACTGCCATACGCCTTTCGACACGGTTATTTGGACTTCGGCCTGGAGAATTGGTTGTAGTAAACATTCCATCTAAGTCGTACTTTTTTAAATGGTTTATAGATTGAGAAATTACTTTTTTATAGCGTGGATTTTCATCCGGCCCACTATCTGACATAATTACGACTACTGGTTTTATTTTGTCGCTATTGTTATGTTCACCTATGAAAACATATTTAATACTTCAATTAATATTGAAAATGTACTGAGAAAAATATTTTCTCACTTTAAAATTAAAGATAAGTTTTATAATTTAATTGAACACAATTTATAATATATTTTAATTAAATAAATATGTTTAAGAACTGTACATATAAATAGAAAAAAATGCATTTTTTTTGTTTTGAAGCAATTCTGTTATTTTTTTAAGTAATTGTTTAGATGCTTTGCACTTTCCATTCTTTTTGATACTTCGATAATTAATCGGTTAAAAATGATGTTAATACCCTGAAAAAAATGTTTCCCGGAGTTAACTCTCTTGATATCCAAATTGAATAATACTTTACTAACAATTCTGTACCATTTGTCATTGTATAAAAAAATTTTCCTTTTGTGGCTTTTTAAAAATTCAATGAATATAACTTTATTATGAATGATTTGTTTGTTTCAGTGTTCGAAGCGCAACGCACAAACATTTGGAAAAGAAGAATGAAGTGAATTTCGACAAAATCTTTAATCAAATGTTAGGTAAACAATTAAATTTGAATATTAAGCTAAATTTCTTAAAAGATAATAATATAAGGATGATTTGCACGTAACTGTCTAATTTAGTAACGTCGTAAAATCACATTTCACATTGAAAAATTATTCCCAATAGGCTGTTCCGTTACGTCAATATTTAAGTTAAATTCGACTTCAGCAAAATTTAATTAGAATTAAATTTTAATGGAACGGACAATTGGGAGATATTTTTAATCATTTTTACTATATATCATAATTCAAAATTTCATATTCTTCTTTCTACAATTAAATTGGTCATAATCATAAAATATTCTTTTACCATCTCCTGTTATCATTTATTTTAACTATTTATTGTGGTTTTATATTCGGAAAACCTGATTTAAAATCTTAATTAAATATAAAAACTAGAGCTGAGAGTAGGCGTACGAAGCGCACAGGGGTACGGTCGGGCCGTGCACCCCAAAATTAAAAAATTAATTTCTCACGAATAGGTATCAAAAAACACCTCTCTGCAATTTTTAGAGATCTTTATGGATATTATAAGCATTCATTTAATTCATTTAATTAATTTTCATTTAATGAATTATTTATCTTCAATAATTTCAATAATTAATAATAATAATAATTTAAATTAATAATAATTCAATAATTTCCTTACAGTTTATATATTAAACTCTTTTTTCTAAATATTATAGATTTCGAAATAAAATTGCTGAAAAAATAACTTAAAAATTTAAACAACAATGTCTTACAAAATAATTGATATTTTGCAAAACTATTTTCACACCTTATAAATGACCCCGAAGACAAGAAAATGTCAAAATATAAAGAAAATCTGAGATTTAAAGCTTGCCCCTGCTCATGGAACGTCCCAACTGATAAAAAATATTTAAAAATAACTTTTTTAGCAGTTAAATTGATTATAAAAAAATGATATGTTTGTGGAAATCAGAGTTAACTTGCAATGTAAATAAATTCTGCTTTCATCCTTTTACATACTTAAAAATTACTTAAGGTATTAATAACTGCAATAAGCCTACAAAATTTTAGGAAAATTTTGTCATGTATTTGAGGAAGCAAAAGTCAGATATCAATTTTGGATTAAAAATGTAGAGGGCGTTTGGACTATAATTACTTTTAGTAGATGGGTAAGAATTTCTGAAGAATTCCTCAATTTTCTTTAGGGTAAGGAACTTGAAAGATACCTAGTGTTTTTGATATTCCATGACGGTACTAAGAAAACCCTTAAATGATTTTTCAAAATTTTAATTTTTTTAAAAGTTATAAACAATTAAAGTTTTTTGTACCGTTTTTGAAAAAATGTAATTTGTTTACTAATTAATTAATTCATTTAATTTTAATTAATTTTAAATAATTTTAATTAATTTAATTTTTAAAACACAATTCAACTTTACTAAGTATAAAAGTTTATAACTAACATTTGGTTTAAGCTTAAAGCAAGCTTAACAAGCTAACATCAACTTAAAAACAAATGGTAGTTATAGACTTTTTTATTTTCAAGGCAGAATCAAGTGGCTGGATCGAAGAAGGGCACTAATTAATTAATTCATGATTCTATAAAAAATTGACAAAATCGACCGAGAACATTGTTTATTTATAAAATTAATAATATAAAATATAATTTGTTTAAACAAATTACACTTTTTATTTACATACTGTATATTTATAGAAAGTACGCTTCCTACACGGAAAAAAAAAGTTGAAGAATCTCTCGTCAACTAGTATATCACTTTTGGATGGGACACAAAATTTCAAAATTTTCATTCACTTTTGATTAGAAATGGCGAACGTCAACGAAAAACTGAAACAAAAGTTAATGAATTTTTGATGAACTGTGTTAAGGATGAGTAGTTCGTCAAAAGTAGAGGTACAAGTTGACGAAAAAATCGTGAACTCGCGTGTGTCAGTAGTATGCGCAGTTCGTAATGCGCATCAAATATGGCTGATCAAGCATTCATCATTCAGTCGGTGTCATCGGTGTTTACATTCGGGTAAATTCTTTGATGAAAGTTATTATTTAGAATCAGTGTTTTTTATTACTTAGTGAATATTTTTGTTTGCTAATTTCCTTTGTGAAACAAATAATTCATAAAATGAATTAAAAGTTACGATCAGGGACTTTTTCTACTTTCCACGGCCCTGAGTTTTCCAGCAGACAAAGCTAATCGTTTCGTTTGTCGAAGGACAGTGTATCTAGATTTAGCCGTGGCGGTTAGTTGTTAGGAATATTATGTTATAGGGTATAGGTACTAGGTTCGAATCCCGTGAAGCGAATTACGAATTTTAATGGCGATAAAATTGTGTATTCTGTGTAGTTGGGTGCGTATAGGCGTCAAGTTATCAAATTAAGTGAAATACTATAAAAAAGTAGTGTCTGGAAATTATTTTTTCTTGTTTTTAGCATTTTTTAAAAGTTCACGAATTTTTCGTTAACTTTGGCGAAAAGTTCGGAAACAGTACTATGTATCTAGTGAAGGAGTTGATGAAATTTTGACGAACTGTGTTTGTTGATTTTCAAGAATTTTGTGTCCCATCCAAAAGTGATATACTAGTTGACGAGAGATTCTTCAACTTTTTTTTTCCGTGTAAGCTTTCTGCAAATACAAATTTTATTAAAATCGGCTAAGACAATTTAAAGATATTGAATTTTTTTAAAAAAGGTGCAAAAAAATTTAATTGTTTATAACTTTTAAAAAAATGAAAATTTTGAAAAATTGTTTAAGGGTTTTCTTAATGCCGTCATGGACTATCAAAAACACTAGTTATTATTTATGTCCCTTACGCTAAAGAAAATTTGGGGATACTTCTGGAATTCTTACCCTAGGGTTATAATTTATTATTTATTGCTGATTACTAATATTTCGCATTTATAGATTTTTTATTTTACAGGTTATCTTTTATTCAAAGAATTTTGCGAGACAGCCGCAGAGGAACCAATTCCACAACTTAGGTTTTATGAACAGGTGAGTTGAAATAATGAATTCCTTATGTAGCACAGAACTCCGGAACTTATTTCAATCCTAAATTTGTTTAACTTCGAAAATTTCTGTAGCAAATTGTTCCGGGTGTCTCATTGAACATTTACTAAAAACAAATTCAAAAAACATCGGATTCTTTTTTAATTTCCATTATCGAAAGCCTGACTTTTTTCCTACAAAAATATGTAAAACCGAAAATGGGATTAAAAGAATTGTTTTTCTAGAAGTTTTTTCATGCGCGGGAGTACAGATGAATGAAAATTTTCATTTCTTGATTAAGTTAAAAATAACTTTATTTTTAGATTGGAGTTTTTGATAGATAATCTAGCTTTATATTATATTTTCATTATCAAGTTTCTTTGAGAAACTTACACGGAAAAAAATTAATCTCTAAACTTGAAATACTATTAATTTGAAGTCCAGTGAAATATAAGTGTATCTAAATTAAACATTATAGTCACAATTACTGTGATAAGTTGTGTTTGATTCTGTCAAACTTTATACCAGAAAACGCCATAAATTCACATCTCTGATTTAGAGATTTGTTAATTTCACAACTTTTTTTATATGAATTAGGTACATTGTGTTTTAAGTTAATCAGTGACAAAAAAGATTTAAACCATTTTAATTAATTAGGTATTAATTTTATTTTCAAATATCAAAATAAAAGCGAAGGTCTGTGAAGGAAGGTCTGTGAAATTTTAAGGTTACAATTGTCGCCCGACAAAATACGGCACTGACTGATTTAAATGACGTGAAATAGGTAAATAAACATTTTTCAACCACTTTTTCTCTAAACACAGACACTTTTTACAAAATAGGCCAACATACAATGGGTAAGAATCTTCTTAATAACCTAAATTCAAAAGATTGTTTAAATTCATGCAGAAACGCGGTTGTCAAGCGGTTGTAAAATGTAAAATTGGAAATGATTGGAAAGTAATGTAATGACAGACAACAAGAAGCGGATTACTGTGCCAGTCGCCAGAAGAGGGCAGAAGCATGCAGAGAGCACAATGGTCCAGCTGTTATATTCTTAGCATTACATCACTTTCCAATTTTACATTTTACAACCGCGTTTCTGCATGAATTTAAACCATCTTTTGAATTTAGGTAATTAAGAAGATTCCTACTCGTTGTATGTTGGCCTATTTTGTAAAAAGTGTCTGTGTTTAGAGAAAAAGTGGTTGAAAAATGTTTATTTACCTATTTCACGTCATTTAAATCAGTCAGTGTCGTATTTTGTCGGGCGATAATTGTAACCTACAAATTTTACAGACCTTCCAACGCCGTTAAAACAAAAAAATGAAATAAAAATATAAAATTCGTATTGTGTTTTAAAAATATCCAACTACTTTTTTATACTTGTCAATGTATAGTTCATACAGGGAAAACAATATAAATATTTTGTGAATAATTCTCACTCTAAATGTGATAAATTATAAATTCTTATTACATCGAGTTATTACAAAAATAAGAATTATATAAATATACGACTAAAATTTTTAATATTGTTTATTCAAATAATATATTAGATTTGAATTTATTCAAGTAAGTTGATAGTTTAGAACATATGTTCCATATGTCATAAAATTTGAGATTCCTAATATCATTTTTAGGCATAAGAAATACGTGTTCTTCACAATACTAATATTCGGATTAGATATAATACCAAATTTCAGTTTTAGTGATCTGCTTACATCTTACGTCCGATTCCAGTGATAGTTTATGCCTAAATCTCAGATTTAATCTCTAATTTAGAGATTAATTTTTTTCCGTGTAATTTACATTCCTTAGCAGCTGGATACGTAACAATATTGTTTAGAATAACAAGTTTCGATTTTTCTTTATGGGTCAAAATAAGTGAAACCGGCCACTTGAAAAATTTTTGTCCCCGAATTTAAAGTTATCTATGGTTTTTGATAGATATATGAGTAAACTTTTACCCGCTAAAATATTTTGCAAAAATTTTATTTATTTTGAAAGTTATCAGGTGTTAAACTTTTAGGTTAGTTTTTATTCTTTTCATTTGATACCGTCACTGGTGGAAGTAACAAGGGCGCATAAGAATAGAGAAACACAGAATTTTCGTAAAGAAAATCGGGTGCTTCTTATTCTAACATGCAGCCCTGTCTTTGGCCGAGCCATTGGCCACGCGCTTTCCTTGCATTTTCCTCCATTTTTTCCTCACGCGCCTCCCTTTCACTTTCGTCCCTTTCACTACGTTCGTCGCTTTCCCTCATTCGCTGGCGGGCTGCCAAGCGTACGGCCCAATTTCTTCCTTCCCCGCGCCGCCTACGCTTTCCCGTCTACCACTCACTTGCTTTCCACTACCACCGGCGCGTCAGGCCCTTTGCTTCGCCTGCCACTTTCTCTCAGTTCCTAATACCCTGGTGTTTTTCCGCGCCTATTTTCAATTTATTTTTTATAAATTATGGATGTTCGCGAGTCACACTATACGTTATATTTTTATATATTAAATCAGGAACATATATAGATATAGGAGGAATCTAATATTTTAATAGTTTAAGTTATTCAACATACGTGGTATTATATATTCTTACGAGGGTATAATAATTACTACGTAAGTATAAGAATAATTTTAACCTATTTTATAAATATTAAATTATCACTTTAGTATTAAGAACTTCGTTTTGTTATTATTTTTAATTGTTAATTAAGTTTTAGAATTAATTAGAATAGGGATGTGTGAGAATCTTTGAAGATAGAGGGAAACTCGCGAGGAGACGCGCGACTTTACCTCTGGCTCAAGCGAAACGCGTGAACCGTACGCGCATTTCGCGGAGTCAAAGATAAGAAGCGCAAGCGCAAACTGACCCTCTCTCTTAAGAAATTTCTCCCACTTTACGTTTTGGAAAAGTCGCGGATGATAAAAGCTGATGCACTGGACCAAAACGTCAGTTCTATCCTGAGCTCACCTAGAGGTTGGTCTTCCTCCTCCGCTCAACTTAACCACTACATTCTGAAATTGTACTTAGAATAAATTGCGAGTTTCGGACTTAGAATAAATCGACGAGTTTATACTTATAAAATTTTCAAGAAAAATTGAACTTAGAAAAATTTCGAAGAAAATTGGACTTAGAAAATTTTCAAAGAAATTTGGACTTAGAAAATTTTCGAAGAAAATTGGACTTAGAAAATTTTCAAAGAAATTTGGACTTAGAAAATTTTCGAAGAAAATTGGACTTAGAAAATTTTCAAAGAAATTTGGACTTAGAAAATTTTCGAGGAAAATTGGACTTAGAAAATTTTCAAAGAAATTTGGACTTAGAAACTTTTCGAAGAAATTTGGACTTAGAAAATTTTCCAGGAAAATTGAACTTAGAAAATTTTTCGAAGAGATTGAACTTAGAAAATTTTCAAAGAAATTTTAAACTTAGAGAATTTTTGCGGATCTCCACCCTTAGGGAGTTACCGTAGTGAACCGACCATTGTATCACCATTCGTTTAATAAATCGAAACGAACACAAGCTGTTGTCATCTTTATTCATAATACCTTCCAATGGTGAGTACATACTTCTCTCAATAAGTTCATTACTTCTACCGCCTCCCGAGTTGGTTTCCTCTCGGTCACGTTACACTTACACGGAGTCAAGCTGGTTTCCTCTTGACGTCCCTCACACTCTTGAATTGAGCTGGTTTCCTCTCAAGAAGAGTAACATTAAAATCGAGTTGGTTACCTCTCGATTATAACACACCGAGTTGGTTTCCTCTCGGTCACGTCACACTTACGCGGTGTCAAGCTGGTTTCCTCTTGACATCCACATTCTAAATTTGAGTTGGTTTCCTCTCAAATTGAGTACATTAAAATCGAGTTGGTTTCCTCTCGATTATAACACACCGAGTTGGTTTCCTCTCGGTCGCGTCACACTTACGCGGTGTCAAGCTGGTTTCCTCTTGACATCCACATTCTAAATTTGAGTTGGTTTCCTCTCAAATTGAGTAACAGCTATAATCGAGCTGGTTTCCTCTCGATTATTACCTACACTGTCCGAGTTGGTTTCCTCTCGGACCCATCTCACACATTTTTTGGATCAAGTTGGTTCCCTCTTGACGTTAGACTAAAACCCATATTCGAGTTGGTTTCCTCTCGATATGAGTAACCGCTAACATCGAGTTGGTTTCCTCTCGATGTCATCTCCACTCACTGAGTCTGGTTCTTAAGCAACCACACTCATCCGTTTTTTTTTGTCCCAGGGTAAGAAGCGGTCCTTACGACGAGTGGCCCAAGACTGGGCTGAACGAGGTTTGCAGTTCGACGAGTGCCCTTCCGCGCCAATCGAGGAAGTGCAGCTACAAGTAGGAGACGAGTGGCTTTACCGACAATATTGTCTCAGACGAAATAGGCCTGCCCCTTGGGACGCACCACCTCTCCCGTTGCCACTGCCACGTTTCGGTATCGCAACCGTCAACGTCACCGTCCGTCGAGGTGAGCCTGAAGCTGTCTACGCTCCTATCGCCGCTGCCGCCGCCCCAGCTCCAGTAGTTGAAGTTCCGGAAGTAAGAGAACCAGCACGACTTCCTCGTCCCGAAGTTTCGAACTTCGCTTCACGGGAGAACTGGTACTATTTCGACTACGTGTCCTCAAACCGACCCAAGCCACGGGCCGTAGTCAGGCCTACCATCAGCCAACCGCCACAGCCGTCGCTGGTCCCGACGAAGGAGTCAGCTGTCGCACCGGAAGACGTTAAAGTCCACGAGGGCGAAGGATCGTTCAGTCCCATTGTAGACAGTCCACCTCGATCACCTCCAACCCCAGAGGTACGTCTGCAAGAGAAGAGCCCACCTGAAGCTGAATTGGTAATTGAGGAGGACGTCTTGAATCTCGAAACGTCACCCCTCAGCGGCGGTCCTTACTCCCCTGAAGGAACGCCTGAGGCCACGCGACTGCGACCTACATTTTCTAAGTTGCCGTTAGCGAAACGACGAAAAATTGTCTGCGATTTATTAACTTTATTTTAACA